CGGCATCCACATCCTCGCTTGCTGCTGGGAAGGGATGCTCGGGGGCGTGCGAATAGTCGACATCGAAGACGATGGCATTGATGCTATCCGCCATCAATTGACAAAATTTGCCATCCTCTCCAAAAGAGTGGAAACAGAAACCCGAGCCGTGCAGATTGATGATGGCTGCTGGTCTTGCGCTTCGACTTCGACTTGAGGCGGTAAAGTTGCCCGAAGGAGGAGGAGGAGGAGGAGAGAGGTTGCTGTTGCTGTTGCTGTTGCTGTTGCTGTTGCTGCTCGGTTGATAAATGTGAATCAATACTCGACGTTTGGACTTGGTCCGGAGACGCAGCTTGATGCTGGGCTTGGCAGGCGGACCGTGCGCTTTTGGACCCAGGAACTTGAGTACCACTGGAATGAGGAACCGCAGAAAGCGGATTCCAGCTACTTTGAGCGCGTACATTCTCACACTTCAGCGTGAATCGCCAAAGAAAGGCAATGGACCTCTCAGCGAAGCCTTGGAACAGGGAGAATGATAAAAGTGCTAATCACCAATCAGAATGTCTTTGGCTTGGGATGACAAGATGTATATTCGTGATGGACGTGGTAGTTTTGCTTGGCTGTTGATAAACTCGTGACTTTCGGAAGGGAAAGCCGCGGCGGCGTTGCTGCCCAAGCGTGCGCGGTGCACGAATGTGGAGGTCTGATGCTCTGTCAGCCGCACAAACTGCATGCATGATTCCGGCCCTGCTGCTGCATGGTCACGTGTCGCTTTCTGCGTGACGATTTTTGATTTCAGAAATGGCAAGTCGTGAGTCAAGCAGTCTTGATTAGTCTGATGAAGTTGAAGTGCGTGGGACATGCATGACAGCTGGCATGCATGCGCGACTCGCGAGTGACCCTGCATGGGGTCCTATACGATAGCCGCCGCCGCGGGGCGGGCGTCAGAAGAGACTCATACATACGACTGGGATAACTCACAAAGACTCACGATCGAGGGCGTCAGGCGTGACCTCTTGGAACGTACGAATCGCTGCCGCTGCCGCTGCCTCCCCTGCCCCTCGCCCAATTCAAGAACAGCAGGATGGTTGCAATTGACTCGCATTCACCATTCACCATTGCCGATTTCCGCCTTCAAGA